ACCCCCATGTGCCCCTCCGAGGGGTCTGGACGGGTGGAGAGGGACGCGCGGCGCGTCCAAGATGGCACCAAAATGGCTCCAAGATGGCACCGGAGACATGTAGCTACCATGGCCTCCAAGATCGTGCAATTTGATCCTGGTCGGCCCGGACAGCCTGCAATTAGGCTACGAGGGGGGCCCCAGAGGGCAGATGGCTCTGAAGTGGGCCCCCGGCCTCCCGAGGATGCGGCCCGAGGTGTGGCCCGAGGTGACACCGAGGCCTCGAGGTGACCCCGAGGTTGCCCAAGAGGGCCCCACTCGTCCCGGACCCTCTTTGAACGCGGACCGCTTGGGCGTGGGCCGCTGTTGGCGTGAGCGAGTTGTCCTCCTCCTCCTCCTCCTCCTCCTCCTCCTCCTCCTCCTCCTCCTCCTCCTCCTCCTCCTCCTGACTATGGCAGCCTCCCCCACCGTCAAAGGCCTCGTCCCTCGTCGCCCTCGCCCTCGCCCTCGAAGGTGGCGGGGCGGCGGCCGCGCCGAGAGCGGCGGCCCCGGGCCTCTCCCCCCCCCCGCGGGCCGTCCTGGTAGGTCGGGGGGTTGCCGCCGCGGCACCTCACGGCGCGCGGGAGGCAGGCCCGGCGGATCGAGCGGGGCGGGGCCGACGGCGGCGACCTCGCCACCGACGACGACGACGGCGACGACGACGACGACGACGACGACGACGACGACGACGACGACGACGACGGCGGCGGCGACGACGGCGGCGACGACGACGGCGACGGCGACGACGGCGGCGGCGGCGGCGGCGGCGGTGGGGACGACGAGGACGACGACGGGGCTCCGCTACCTGGTGCAGAGTAGGCCCGCGGCCGCTCAGCCCTTCATGTTCGCGCGATTCCGGGCACCCGCGGGACACTGTCGCAGGGCCTTGTGAAGCGGGCTTCGTCTTCGACGACCTCCCGCAGGCGTCACCCTTTCCCGCTCGGTCCTCGCGCCGTGGCGTGGAGGAACCCGTGGACGGTGCCGACCTCAGTGACGACGCGCGCGGCGCTGGCGGCGGCTCTGGCGTTCCGCTGTTTCTTTTCCGAGGAGAGAGTTGGAAGCGGCTGGGGGGTCTGCGCTGGATGGGCCCTAAGAAAATCGATCAAGAGAGGTGAACTTCCCCTCGGGGCCAACACCAAATAGGCCCATGAAGCACCACGCACTATCCACAGGAGGCGGATCCTTCCGCTGCTCCCGACTCTCTGGTCCCCACCCGTGGGAGCGCCTGCGGGCGGCGATCGACGACTCCGGCATGGGCCACCTCCTGCACGCCCTGCATCTCGACGCCCAACGCCGCGCCATACCGCGCCGGCAGCGGGCGGCTGCTGGGAAGCGAGGCCCGCTCCAGCCAGCCACTGGTAGGGGCAGCGCGGAGCGTCGGCGACGCCGTGCAAAGTTCCTGAACGCGGAGACACGCATAAGAGACCGCATTGATCCCTCTCTCAGCAGCTTTTGCGTGTGATCCAGTGGGATCTCTCTGCGCCCGTTCGCACGACACGTGCCCTGTTTTCACAGCGTGCAAGTGCAGCAAGCTCTGTCGCTGCTCGTCCGCCCTGTCCAGTGAAGCTTGCCCCGCACGTCGCTGCCCCTGTGTTGCGCACCCGCTGCCGAGGCCACCACAACGTCCTCGCACGCCCGTGCCGTGGCAGACCATCGCGTGGCTGCCGCTGCTGCCGCTGCCGTCTGCCAGGGCAATGGCTGGTCTAACTGGAATCGTACACCTTCCCTGGGGCCGAGGCTCGGGGGTCGGGCTCGGGTCCCGTGCCCCTCTCGACCGTGGCGCTCGGGGGTGGGGTTGATTCTGCGGGGGGTGGGCACTCTGTGAGGGCTCGGGGCTGGGTTCGCTCGGCCCTGGTTGCGGGTGCACGGTCCAAGTTGTACGGGCCGCTGCCTCCTTCGATCGGATGGATCATCATCTGCATCATCATCATCATCATCATCACCACCACCACCACCACCACCATCACCTTCAGCGTTACAACCACCACCACCACCATCGTCATCATCACAACCACCACCTTCATCACCACCACCCTGTCACCCCGTAGCCATTCTGGCTCAAGCCCTGTGCCGCCGGATGCCTGCGAGCGCGCTGGCGCGCCGTCGCAGGGCCGCCGCCGGTGAACTCGGCCCTTCGTCCCCTCCGACCTGCCGCAGGCTTGCTGCGCACGCCAGTCGCGCAGCTCGGCTCGACGCCCCCGGCCGCCCCCACCTGCTCATGCGGCCCCCCGGCGGCGCAGGCGGCCGCGCGGGCCGCGGAGGTCGGCGTGGGGATGCAGAGCGGAGCGAGCCGATGGACGTCGACGGCGCGCCGCAGGCCGGGGGCCGCGGCGCCAGTGCTGCGCACGGGGCGGGGTGCCCCAGGGCGCGGCTGCTGGCTGGCGCCGAGCGCGGCACGGCGGGCGGAGGCGCGGGCGACCAGGGCGATCTGGCCGACGGGGGCGGGGCTGACGGCTCGCTGCGGCGCCCCGAGGCGGCGTGCAGGTCAGGGGTGCCCAGCGACATGGAGGCCGAGGCGAGTGGCCTGGTGGCTGCCACAGGCACAGCCAATGACACGAACACAAACTGTCGAAGCCCTGCGCGGACGTCGCGGATCGGCGCTGGACCCGCCCGCCCTGGCGCGCGAAGCGCGCCGAGGGCGGAGACGGAGGCGCCGCCAGGGGGGCTCCAACGCCGATCCGAGAAATCCGCGCGGAGCTCCGAAAGTTTATGTTGATTTCAGGTCGGGCATGTCACCCTACAGGAGGGATTGTGGCCGAAAACTTAAAAATACCCAGAACATACCCCAAAATATTCCAAATAACACCCCAACAAAATGGTTCCCGTACTATTTTCATACTATGTTGAAAGATTCCCCCTGTAAAAGAACAGGCCCGACTAAATACTAATTTCACCATGTATTTCCCCAACTGCGGCGGTCATGACGGCCGCTGCTCCAGCCGCGGCGGCCGAGCCGGCAGCGCGCGCCCACGGGGCGCGGAGGGCGCCCGCCACGGAGGTGCCCACGGTCTGACTGCCTACCAGACCACCCCAGCCCAACCCGAAGGCCCGAAGTTCGGGTTGGGGGGTACGGGTTCCGCATGTGTTTTTTCAATCTTCCCCGATCCCCCCCCCAACTGGAAATGGAGCCTTCGGGTTGGGTTGGGGTGGTGTTTGGTGGGTGGTGAACGTCGGCGGCAGGCTCGCCCGCCAGAAGGCCGACGGCGGAGCAGCTCCGCGGCGTGGCCACCGCGGCCAGCCCACGGGAGGCCGTGCAGGGCGGCCCCATCCTCCTCCTCCTCCTCCTGCTCCTTCTCCTCCTCCTCCTCCTGCTCCTTCTCCTCCTCCTCCTCCTCCTCCTCCTCCTCCTCCTCCTCCTCCTCCTCCTCCTCCCCCTCCTTGTCATCGTCCTCCTGCGGACAGCGTCCAACTCGCAGAACAAACACAACAACAAAAAGCGTCCCACAACAAAAAAGCGGACAGAGAACAAAAAAGCCTCCTGCGGACAGCGTCCAGCTCGCAGAGAACAGAAAAGCGTCCCACCACAAACGCCGCCCTCCTCGCCCTCCCCGTGCTGCTCCCCCCGCAGGGCGGCGCCTCTCCACCACGGCCATGTAGACTTCGAGCTGCGCCGGCGAGTCCACCTCGGCCGGCGGGGGGGCCACGGCTCGAGGCCGCCGGCACGCGCGCACGGTGGCGGGCACGGGGGCGGGCACCGGGCGCGGGTCCAGGGCCGAAGGCCGGACGCTCAGGAAAGAGAAGTGAGGCCCCCTGATGCAAGCACCGTGTGGGCATTGTACATGACAAGTGTATGCATGTGTAAATATATATATATATATATGTATAAATATACATGCATGCATACATACATGCATACATGCATACATGCATGCATGCATGCATACATGCATACATGCATACATGCATACATGCATGCATGCATGCATACATGCATGCATGCATGCATGCATACATGCATACGTACATTCATACGTACATACATACATACATACATACATACATACATACATACATACATACATGCATACATGCATACATGCATACACGCATACATGCATGCATGCATACATGCATGCATGCATACATGTATACATGCATACATGCATACATGCATACATGCATACATGCATGCACGCATGCATACATATATACATACCTACATACATACATACATACATACATACATACATACATGCATAAATGCATACATACATACATACATACATACATACATACATACATGCATGCATGCATGCATGCATGCATGCATACATGCATACATACATATATACATACATACATACATACATACATACATACATTTATACATGCATACATACATACATACATACATACATACATACATACATACATACATACATACATAGTGTACATGGCATGTGTATGCATGTGTAAATATATACACATACATACATACATACATACATACATACATACATACATGCATGCATGCATGCATGCATGCATGCATGCATGCATGCATGCATGCATACATACATACATACATACATACATACATACATACATATATATGTATGTACACACATGCATGTACTAAGGCCACGTGACCGCGCTTCGCGCGCGCCCTCAGGTTCTAGCCGCGCCCAACGAGGTCGCATCGCAAGCTGCTGGTGGCAACTGGAGGGGCGATGTTGGGGGTCATGTGGGGCTGGTAGATGGACGTGTGGCAATTTGAGTTGGCGATTCCGGCAACGTGCATAGGAAGACTTACGAAGCTCATCAATGCGGGGTGCGTCTCCGGCCCCACCCTTGGACTTAAGGAGAAGCACAACCGAGACGACGGGTACTGGACTCGTGATCTGCAGTGCACACCACACAACGATGATGACGTCGTCGCGCACGTGGAGGGTGGATCGAGGAGGGGGGCGCGGGAGAAATGTAGAGGAGGAGGAGGAGAAGGAGAAGGAGGAGGGACAGACGGAGATTACGTGTGAGATTAAGGTCGAGGTAGGGCCGTGCGGAGGACAATCCTGGGGCATAGTCGACCATCCTGGAAGCGGAGGCTGGAACAGCCAACCGATGGCTTTTCACAAGGACGGAGCGCGGGGGCAAAGCTCGCGACGCAGCCGTCGAGCGTGCACGTGCACTCCCCCGCCGCGGACCAGGCCCTCGCTGTGCGGTCGCTCGAGACCGTGAGCACCTCCTGCCCGTCGGCAGAGAAAGCCGCGGCCCGCACGCAGCCTGAGATGATGCGCAAAAAGAGCTGGGGGGGGGTCCTTTTCCAATCGGGGAGACGTAGGACTCGGGTTCGGGGGACTCTTCGGGGTGGCCCGACGGAGCCATCACGAAAGTGACGAGACCAAATCTCAGATTTGACGCGAACTCCTGCTGCAGACATCTCACGAAAACTGGGCCGTCGTAATCCAGGGCGCGCTCGTCAAAAAAACGTCTGCAAACCCGAGTTCCGGGGCATACTCCAGTCTTACGCTTCCCCAGTCTAAGATCGACGTATTCTCCGCTCTGGGGTTTATTTTGTGTTGGGATGTTTCTCGTTGGCGCCATGTTCGGTCTGGTTCCGTTCTGCACTGCCGCGTGATTTTTGTTTTACCTTGGGATGCAGAAGTTTTCTGGTCTGGGCTTGCCGAGAACCGAAAAGTTGCAACGGGGGCACATATAGAACTAGATGTATATATATATATATAGATGTGTGTGTATGTGTATGCATGTACGTATATATAACTATGCGTGCATGTGTGCATGTGCGTATGTATATGTGTGTATGTATGTAAACATGTATGTATGTATGCAGGCATGTATGCAGGCATGTATGTGTGTATGTGTGTGCGTCTGTGCATGTATGTGTGTACGTGCGTATGTATGTAAGCATGTATGTACGTACGTACGTATGTATGGATTTGAGTATGTATGTGGGTATGTATGTGTGTATGTAGGTAGGTATGTATGTATGTGTGTCTGTTCGCATGTATGCATGTATGACTGTATTGTCTTGTAGTGTAGTGTTTGTCTTGTGTTGTGTTACATTGCATGATAGTGATTGGTTGTATGTATATGTGTATATATGTGCATGTATGTATGTACGTGTGTATGTATGTGCTGCATGTGTGTGTGCATGTGTGTATGTATGTATGCATGGATGTATGTATGTATGTGTGTATGTATGTGTGTATGTATGTGTGTATGTATGAGAGAGAAAGATCCACCGCCGCTTTACTGTGGAAAATTGCCGCCCTTTTCCTCCAGAACCCGGGGGTCCCCCCCCCCCCCTCCGAAAATCCCCCCCCCTGCTGGAACCCCCCCCCCCCCCCCCCTCCCCCCCCAACCCCCCCCCCCCCCCCCCCCCCCCTCGAACTCGAAAACCGGGGGGGGTCACTACCGGTTCGAACCCCCCCCCCCTCGAAAACCGGAGGGGGGGGTCACTACCGGTTCGAACCACTGAGCTGTCCCACTGTTCCCACCACTGTCCCCACTGTCCCTACCACTGTCCCCACTGTACCTCTGTCCCATTGTCCCACCGCCGTCCTCGCCACCGCCTTCACCACTGTCCCCACCACCACTGTACCCTCCACTGTCCTACTGTTTCCACCACATTCCCACTGTCCCCACACCACTGTCCCCACCACCACCGTCCCCACCACTGTCCCACTGTCCCCACTGTTCCCACCATTGTCCTCACCATTGTCCCCACCACTACCGTCCCCACCACTGTCCCACTGTCCCCACCACTGTCCCGCTGTCCCCTCACCACTGTCCCCACCACCACCGTCCCCACCACTGTCCGCACCCCCCCTCGGTTTTCGAGGAGGGGGGGGGGGGGGTTCGAACCGGTAGTGACCCCCCCGGTTTTCGAGCTCGAAGGGGGGGGGGGGTTCGAACCGGTAGTGACCCCCCCCCTTTTCATGATGAACTGGGGAGGGGGGAGGGGTTCGAACCGGTAGTGACCCCCCCCGGTTTTCCGGAGGGGGGGGAGGGGTTCGAACCGGTAGTGACCCCCCCCCCCGGTTTTCCGCTAGCAGCGGTAGAACACGCTCTTTCGTATGTATGTATGTATGTCTGTATGTCTGTATGTATGTACGTACGTACGTACGTACGTACGTATGTATGTATGTATGTATGTATGCATGTATGTACGTATGTATGTGTTTTATGTATGTATGTATGTATGTATGTATGTATGTATGCATGTATGCATGTATGTATGTATGTATGTATGTATGTATGTATGTATGTATGTATGTATGTATGTATGTATGTATGTATGTATGTATGTATGAATAACTGTATGTATATATGAATAACTGTATGTATGTATGTCTGTCTGTCTGTCTGTCTGTCTGTCTGTCTGGATGGATGGATGGATGAATGAATGGATGGATGGATGGATGGATGGATAGATATATGCATGTACGTGTGAATGTATTATATATACAGTGAGCACGAAAAACGCCCCCAGCGATTGTAACATCGACTAAGCACGCAGCCCTCGTGGCCCTCCAGCGTGCGCACGCAGGCCCCAGAGGCCACCGACCAGACCCTGGCGGTGTGGTCGTCCGAGGCCGTCAGCGCCTCCAGCCCGCTGGGCGAGAACACGGCCGTCCGCGAAGAGGGCCCAGAAAAAGCAGAGCCGCACACAAACTCTTGGAAGTCCGCGCAGAGTTTCGGCACGTTCGTGTCGTGTCAGCTTCGGCGTTGGTTTCTGACGCCGCGGGAATCGCTCAACCTTGAACGATCGGCCGTCTCCGAAACGTCAGATCGTTCAACATCGACCGATTGTGGGTCGCCAGTGGCGTGCAACGTTGAACGACACCGATAGCCTGGTCGCCGCCAGTCGACACGACGCGAACCTACCGTGCCGGGGGTCGCGGCTGGACCCCCCCTTATTAGGAGAAAACTACTGGGAGGTCTTCGTCGGAAAGATTAAGGAGGATTAAGCCCCATTGGGGGTCTGCTACACCCGATTCGGCCGCGGATTAAGCGGGATTAAGCCGGATGAATCGGGATTAAGCCAAACTGAGCGGGACGAAGCCCAACCAAGCGGGATCAAGCCAGACTGAGCGGGATTAAGCCAGGGCAAAGTCAGAATTTGACATCCCAGGAGTTGCATCCGAACCCCGCCGTCCTCGCGTCGTGTTAAAAGTAAAGCACACGGTTTGCGCGGAAATCCCGGGGGATCAGGCGCTGGGCCCCCCTGGAGATCGTTGTTTTTTTCTGTTCGGCGATGAGCTGGGTTCTCCGCTTGGGGGGGGGGGGAAGTGCTGCCCAGTAACCCGACCTTTCCGCTTCGGGCAGCCCAACGTGTGCCCGCGCGCACTCGTTGTTTTTTCTGCGATTAGCTGGGTTATCCGCTCGGGGAGGAATGCCGACCAATAACCTGACCTTTCCGCTTGGGGCAGCCCAGCGTGTGCCCGCGCGCACCAATACCCCATTCGACCTGCGCAACCGACGGGAGGGGAGGGGGGCATAGCGCGCGCAATGGCCCAGAAGGTAAAAAACATAACACTCTCGAGGCTGGGGTCGCTCCCCTGACCCCACCCTTGGGCTTGCCCCCCTCTGCGCACCCTCGACCCCGCACCCCGCGGGGAGGGGCGCCTCTGGCGCCGCCCTGGAGCGCGCTCCTGCGCGCCCCTTGGTACGGGGTGCGGGCCAATGGGGTGCAGTGAACGGGCCCAGGGACACACAAAAAGATATACACGGATCCCAGGACTCCCCAGATGTTCCGTATGTTCTGGATGTTCGTCTCCCCCTCCACTTCACATAGTTTCCATCGTCTCGCGGGAATCGACGATTGTGTGTGTGTGTGTGTGTCTGGGTGTGTTTTCCCCTCCTGGCGCAGCGCCTACCACATAGTCTGCGAGGGCCTCCGAAAGTGTGTTGATGCTGCCCTCCTGGCCCTCCACCGAATGAAGCCCTCGTGGCCTTCCAGTATCTTCGGGCCAGGCGAAAGGGGGGGATAGCAAAGGGGGGGGGTGAGAATCAGCTCACGTATCTGATTTTCCCGGCGCCTCCCGGCGCTGGAGGCGGCTATTTATCGAGAAATGGGCCCCTCGGTGGGGCCGAAACCAGCTGCATGCAGCAAATTTCGTAACCCCCCTTTCCCAATCCCCCCCTGTCGTCCGGCCCGATATCTGCAGGCAGGCCCCAGATGCAGCAGACCAGATCCTCGCCGTGCGATCCTCCGAAGCGGTCAGCACCTCCTGCCCGCCGGGCGAGAAGACCGCCGACCGCACAGGTGCGCGGTGGCCCCGCAGCGCTCGCAGGCACTCCCCGGAGGCCGTGGACCAAATCCTCGCTGTCCGATCGCTCGAGGCCGTGAGCACCTTCCGGCCGTCGGCCGAGAACAGGGCGGACTGCACGTCGCCCTGTCGGCCCACGGGGGCCCGCGCCGCCAGCGTGCGCCGGCACTCCCCGGAGGCCGCGCTCCAGATCTTGGCCGTCTCGTCGCTCGAGCTGGTCAGCACGTCCTGCCCGCGGGGCGAGAACACGGCGGCGCGCACGCTGTCCTGGTGGCCCGCCAGCACGTGCAGGCACTCCCCCGAGGAGGCAGACCAGACCCTGGCCGTGCGATCGTCCGAGGCGGTCAGGACCTCCCGCCCGCCCGGCGAGAAGAGTGCCGACCAGACGAGGCTGGCGTGGCCCACGAGCGTGCAGAGGCACTCGCCGGAGGCAGCGGACCACACTTTCGCGGTGCGGTCGTAGGAGGCCGTCAGCACCTCCCGCCCGTCGGGCGAGAACACCGCGGACCGGACGGGCTCGCTGTGGCCGTCCAGCGTGTGGAGGCACTCCCCGGACGTGGCGGAGATGCTCACCAGCCCACTGGGGCCTCCAGACACCACGCGCAGGATCGGGGTCAGCACGAGAGTCAAGTGGCTGCCGCTCCCAGTGGCGGCGCGCTCGAGGGGCGTGGCGCGAACGGGGGCCCCTCCTCTGCGAGGGCAGGCTGCTCCTGAGAAGCCCCTGGAGGAGGAGGAAGAAGAGGAGAAAGCGAGGAGGAAGAAAAGGAGAAGGAAGAAGAGGAGAAAGAAGAGGAGGAGAAGGAAGAGGAGGAGAAGGAGAAGGAGGAGGAGGAGGAGGAGGAGGAGGAGGACGAGGAGGACCCCGCCCTCTCAAAGACCTCCTCGGGAGCCCCCCACGGGCCCTGCCAGGAGGCCGCCCGCCTCCTCGCGAGGCCGCCCTCTTCGTCCCACCCCCCTTCGCGCGCGCGGCCAACCTCAACCCCGAGATCGGCCAGGGTGGTGTCCCCGCACAGCTCCGCGCTCCCAAAAAACGCGCGCGCCCTGCAGTCGAGCGCGCCGCTCTCTTCCAGCGCTGCCGCGAGCACCTCGCGCAGGCGCCAGGACGGCTCGGCGGCGAGGGTGATGAGCTCGCGCCCGCTGCATGTAACCACAGGCACGCGCATCCGAAGCGGCGCAAGTCGGGCGACGTCGACTGACCACCTCGCCTACTGACTACCCACCAGACCACCCCAACCCAACCCGAAGTCCCAAATTTCGGGTAGTTGGGCACACAGGATCCATATCGATTCTCTGCATGTTTCGGGATACACTTAGGTCGGGCATGTCCCCTACAGGCGGATTTTGGACGAAAACCTAAAAATTGTCCAAAAATACTCCCTGGGAGCGGTTCGCTGTCCAGCCCCCTGCGATCCTGGCCTCCTCGCATCAAAAAATCGTCAGAAACTCGTCCCCCGACTATTTCCTAATTATTTTTGAATACTCCTCGTGTAGAGGGACACGCCCGACTTAACCCTGTCTTGGTTCGACGCGCTCTTCGCTCTCGGCGCCTGCAGCCTTTGGCTCCGCCCCTGGGTGTGGGCGCGACGCCGCTCCTCGTCCACTGCCGGGCCTCGGCAACAGCCGGCCAGACCGTCCACTCCTGCCGAAGATCTTCGTGCGGTGAGTGCCCTCCCCCCTCCAGCCCTCCCTCCGCGGCCATTCTCTGTCCGTCCTCCTCTCGTGCTGCCTCCTCCTCCTCCTCCTCCTCCTCCTCCTCCCCCTCCTCCACCTCCTCCTCCTCCTCCTCCTCCCCTCTCACTCCTCCTCCACCTCCTCCTCCTCCTCCACCTCCTCCTCCTCCCCCCTCCCCCTCCTCCTCCTCCTCCTCCTCCTCCTCCACCCCTCCTCCTCCTCCTCCTCCTCCTCCTCCCTCCCTCCCTCCCTCCCTTCCCTCCTCTCCCTCCCTCCCTTCCCTTCCCTTCCATTCCCTTCCCGTTACCCCTTCCCTTCCCTTTCCTTTCCCTTCCCTTCCCGTCCTTCCCTTCCTTCCCTTCCCTTCCCTTCCCTTCCCTTCCCTTCCCTTCCCTTCCCTTCCCTCCTCCCTCCCTCCCAGTCCCTCCACCGTCGCCTGCCTCTGCCTCCTGCCTCCTGCCTCCTGCCTCCTGGCCTCCTGCCTCCTGCCATCCTGCTCTCCTGCCTCCTGCCTCCTGCCTCCTGCCTCCCTCCTCCTGCCTCCTGCCTCCTGCCTCCTGCCTCCTGCCTCCTGCCTCCTGCCTCCTCCTCCTGCCTCCTGCCTCCTCCTCCTGCCTCCTGCCTCCTGCTTCCTGCCTCCTGCCTCCTGCCTCCTGCCTCCTGCCTCCTCCTGCCTCCTGCCTCCTCTTCCTCCTCCTCCTCCTCCTCCTCCTCCTGCCTCCTCCTCCTCCTAAATGCTTCGCCCTGGTTACAAGAACGCACGACCGTTTTGCCTCTGCCGCGCCGCGACGGAAACAGTGCACCCCCCACACTGGAAGTGGAAGGCAACTTGGGGCCCTCGGGCTGGGTTGGGGCGATTCGGATGGTGGCGACCTGCTCCACACTTAATTCGGCGGTGGGCAAACCTCCCTTTAATAAACCTCCACTTAATCAAAACGGCCTGGGACCGAAACCGACGGTCCTGGAACCGCAAAAATGACGGCCGCGACGCCCTCTCGCGAACCGAAAACGGCCAATTTCTTAATCGACGTGTCAGGGTAGGAGGTCGATCCACCTCCGACTCATCATAAAAAAGGAAGGGGCCACAACCCTTCCGGACGGACAGTTGCCGAGCCCCCCAGGCCAGCCATGTGAGGGCGACCTGTGGCCTGGACCCCCCGAAACCCTCCGGGACGGCGCAAATCAGCAGCTCCCCCCCCCAATCAGACCCCTTCTCTCTCAGTCGGAGGTCCACAGCATCCTGGCCAGCCGGGCCCGGGCCCGTGCCCTGTGGATGCGCCTCCCCGGCCGATCCCCGGGGAGGGAACCAGAGCAGCACGGGCATGACATCTCGGAGGTGCCCAGTCAGGATCGGCACAGGTGGTCTAGTTGGGGGGCCACATGCGAACCCTACCCCTACCCCCCACGATTTTGGGGGGAGGGTGGGGTTCACTTCGCCCGGGAGCTCCCGAGCGAAGTGAACCCCACCCTCCCCTTCAGAAATCGTAGGGGGCAGGGATAAGGTTCGCATGTGGCCCCCTACAAGCGACGCAGCACCGAGAGCCGGCAGCGCGCGCGCAGAAGGGGGCGGTGGCGCGAGGCGGCGGCCTTCGGAGAGGGCGGGGCACCCTGGGCCGGATACACGGCTGGCAACACCCGAGTCGTGCCAGGGGGAAGCGGGGAAGGGGATCTTGGAGGCCTGGAAGTGGGCACCAACACCAACACAGGGGGGTGCCTCCACATGGGGAAGGTTATGCTAGATTTCGGTGTCGGTGGCAATAGTTCGGTCACCTTGGAAGCGAGAATATCACCACCATCACCGAGATCGGGATCTTCTTCCCTCGGTAGATGCACACCGCCGATATTGGTGTTGGTGCCAATCTCTAGGCCTGCGAGGACCGGGCGGACGTCATCAGGATATGGGCAATTGACGGGGGGGCGAACCACGGGGGGCGAACCACGGGGGGCGAACCACGGGGATCGGGCGCTCACCCGATGCCCGCCCCGAGGCGCTTCGTGGGCGCTTCGTGGGCGCTCCGATAGCTTGCACCACGTAAATTCAGGATGGATCCAAGACCGAACAGAACCGCCCGAACCGAACCGAACCGGTCCTTCACCCATCCCTCCTCTTCCTCCTCCTCCTCCTCCTCCTCCTCCTCCTCATCATCATCATCAGCAGCAGCAGCAGCAACAGCAGCATCATCAACATCTGCCCTCCTCCTCCCTCCTCCTCCTCCTCCTCCTCCTCCTCCCTCCCTCCCTCCCTCCCTCCCTCCCTCCCTCCCTCGCTCCCTCGCTCCCTCGCTCCCGCTCCCTCGCTCCCTCGCTCCCTCCCTCCCTCCCTCCCTCCCTCCCTCCCTCCTCCCTCCTCCCTCCCTCCCTCCCTCCCTCCCTCCCCTCCCTCCCTCCCTCCCTCCCTCCCCTCCTCCTCCTCCTCCTCTCCTCCTCCTCCTCCTCCTCCTCCTCCTCCTCCTCCTCCCTCCTCCTCCTCCTCCTCCTCCTCTCCTCCTCTCCTCCTCCTCCCTCCTCCTCCTCCTCCTCCTCCTCCTCCTCCTCCTCCTCTTCCCCCTCCTCCTCCTCCTCCAACTCCTCCTATTGTCCCTCTCCTCCAACGCGAACCGAAGCGAACAAAACCGGGCAACTTCGACGCTCGCACTGGACCGAACCTGCTCCCCGAACAGAACCGGACTGAACCGGAGCGAGCTGGACGTCACCGCCAGCGCTTCCAAATTGCCCCAAATGGCTCCTAGTCCGCCCTGAAGGCTCCGAGGCTGCTCGGGAGGGCCCCAAGACGGCTAGATATGACCCCAAGAGGGCATCCGCAGCCCAAAAGCACTGATGTTCTAGTCCCCGATCAGCGGTTGAGACGTTGGAGGCTTGGAGAAAATCCCCAGACGATTCTGGTGGGCGGCCGGGTATCTGAGTCCCCCCCCTCAAGGACCTTCACGGATGATCTGCACGGGCCCCCGCAAACCCTCGAGGATCTTCAAGGACCCTCAAGGAAGCCCCAGAACCCTTAAAGACCCAAGGATCCCCTAAAGATCCTCCAGGACCTCGTAAGATCTTCAAGAAGCTTCAGAAGACGCTGACTGAATTTCAACGACACTCACAAACCATCAATGATATCGAAAGACCGTCGAGGACCAAGAAAGACCTTCAAATATCTACAGCGCAAAAAAACAATCGGAGCAGCCAAGAACAATTAGCGGAGCAAGCCAACATGCTCCGGGCATGCCAAGGGGCCTTTACGTGATTCAGAAACTTGCTTTGGAGCAAGCCAACATGTGTTGCGGAGAAGCTGTAAGATTTCAGGGAAAAGACGCGAAGACGTCTCGGACAGGCCGAAATTCTTGTCGGAGAGGCCAGTCGGAGAAGCCAAGCCAACTGGGATAATTCAGAAGAGCTCTATGAGAAAGCGACGAGTCTCTCGCAGCAGCCCAACACCTTTCGAAACATCCGGAAACAACATCTCGAGCGGCGAAAAAGAAATATCTCACAAAACGTGCTGCACGACACTGCTACGACCACCCAGCAACAAGATCATCCGCCACGGAGCCTTCAGAACGTAGGAGCGCCGCAAGGGTCAAAAAGATGTGAGCGGTGGGAATTTCAAGGGCCCAGATCCATATTTTTCCAGAAATCTGTGCGCTTCCGGCGTTCCTGCTGGGAGGCCAAATCTGCCCAAACCGATCCCCCCCTAGAACCCAAGCAACGCTCGAAAAGGCTCAGGAAATCTCGGCGGCCCCAAGAACATCGTGACTGCACTACCTCTCGGGGTCCTCTTGGGCCATCTTGAAACCCCGGGGGCGGGCACCCCGGAAGGCTCCCAAGAGGACCCGAAGAGACCTCCGGGAGGCCCCGTGTCCAAGGGGGTCTCTGTACTCACGACCTGGGCACGGTGGCGAGAGTGGCCAGAGGCCACCCAATCCGCCGCCCCCTGTCGATTCATCGCAGGGATGCCTGGCGTGCTAGATCCTTTCGGTTTTGGTTTTGGTTCTTTTTCCTAAAGAACTCCCCCTGGGGCTTCGGCCCGTCCCGCCGGCCACCCAGAAGACCTGATTGCAAACGGTTTTCCTGCCCCAGACGGCCCCACCATGGCCCAAGATGGCTTCCAAGACGGCTGAGATGGCCCCAATATGCCTCCAAGACGGCCCAAGATGCACCCAAGACGGCCTAAGATAGCCCCCCCGCAGCCTGCGAAGGGGCGCCCGGCGTGCCAGACGCTCGAGTGCCCGTGGTCCGTCCGAGCGGTTTGCCAGGGCGGCAGCCGCCGCCGCAGGAGGGTGCACTCCAGCGGCTCTGCCGCCCAGACGGCTCCGAAAGGGACTCCAGTATGGCCAAGATGACCCCGAGCGGCTTCCAAAACGGCCCAGCATGCCTTCCAAATCGGCCACGGTGGCCAAGATGGCCCCAAGACGGCCGAATGTGGCTGCAAGACGAGTCCAAGGAGCGAAGTTCTGGCAGAACGAAAAGTCCGCCGCTCTAAGGGTTGCACCCGCATGAGCAGAACCAGGTCCTGGAGCCCAACCCAGTAGCTGCAACACGTTCAGATTACAAATGTTGCACTCACACACAGTCAAGATGATATGTGTAGCGAAGCGCAACTAAAACGCATGCATGATACTTTGTCATGGTGTAACTATGTTCAATAAAATTAGATCAGACATACCAATGTAATAGATACCAACATGCATGGCATCATATGTTTGTTGGGGGCTATTGCGCGCTCACCCGTGCCCTGCAGAAGAAGGCGTCGATGGCTCTCCGACGTCACCACCCCGAGGCCCTTGGCAATGCGTGAGCTAGGCCATGTCCGTCGCTGCCACCACCGTCGCCTTTGCCCCTGCTCGTTGTCCCACGTCTTCCACCTTACCGTCCCTTCCGCAGACGTTTTGGCTCGAGGTTGATCGGTTGACCTCGGGGAAGAGCCTCCTGCAGGGCAGATGTGCTTGTATGGCGGAGCAGGGCCCGCGGGCCCCCAGGCCAACTACTTCGCACTTCGGCGCGGCCATGCTTCAGCTGGCAAACACCTCAAAGGCCAGGACCTGTGTGACTGTTCGGACCACGATAAGTCGAGTCGCTCATTCACCCCATCAGTGGCGTCGTTGGCAAAAATTGCGCCCGCTCTGGAGCCCCTCCTGGACTTGACACCGACGGGCATTCCTGGAATGGGCGCACTTCGGGCCGCCCTGGCGAAATTGCAAACGGAGTGCAAGATTCCGCCTCCCTCCTCCTTCCCCCTCCTCCACCCTCATCCTTCCTCCTCACTCCTCCTTCTCGACGGCGTCGACGACGACGAACACAGCGGCGGCGGCGGTGAAAGACGAGCACTGCCACGAAGACGTCGACGACGACGACGACGACGACGACGACGACGACGACGACGACGACGACGACGGCGGCGGCGGCGGCGGCGGCGGAGGCGGCGGAGGCGACGGCGGCGGCGGTGACGGCGGCGGCGGTGACGACATCCGCGCGCGCAGGCGCGAGCGCCGAGAGTCGGTGGCCGCCTGCAGGCCCACCTGCCGCAGCCCCTCCTCGAGCTGCTCCTCTGCGGCGGCGGGCAGCCTCTCCAGGCACCCCGTCCTCCTCCTTCTCCTCCTCCTCCTCCTCCTCCTCCCTCCTCCTCCCTCCTCCTCCTCCTCTCCTCTCTCCTCTCCTCCTCTCCTCCTCCCTCCCTCCCTCCTCCCTCCCTCCTCTCCTCCCTTCCTCCCTCCCCCTCTTCCTCCTCCTCCTCCTCCTCCCTCCTCCTCTCCTCCTCCTCCTCCTCCTCCTCCTCCTCCTCATCCTCTTCCTCATCCTCTTCCTCCTCCTCCTCCTCCTCCTCTGAAAATCTCCGATGACTATCAAAACTAACTGCAACGACCAGAGCAGGACTGCGAGACGCTGATATCCACCAGCTTTCAGGCCTCTCACGCCCGCCTCTGCACGCGCGTAGAAGGACGCGAGGACTAGCGAGAAGCCAGAGAAGTGCAACGTCACCGCCGCGAACCCGTCGAGGGCAACTTGGAGGTGGCCCTTGAACATGATCCCCTCCCCGCCCACGCTCGCAAATTCGATCTGAGAATCTGCGACCCTTCTGTCCCAGCGACAAGCAGGATCGGCGTGGAGGCGAAGTCCCTTCCCACGGACGTTGCCATCGAAGTGGCGAAGAATTTGATGATCATGAATATGCGTCTCAACAACACTGAAGAACTCGTATGGCTGCTGTCTCCGCCATGACTATGCTTTGTCACACATGCGCGTAAGATTCCCACGTATTAGCTTGGAAGTGCGACCCCCCATAGCCGTCGAGGATGAAGACGGCTCAGGACTAGGTTCTGAACTTAATCACTCCTGCTTCTACTCTTGCTGATTCGACGGCTGAGAGGTGTCAGCGCCCTTGCCCTTGCTCTTGCCCTTCTGCCTGGAACTTCGCCTCCGACAGGCGCTTCGCCTCCGCGGCCACGGCTGCCGCATCCTCCTTGCTGCCGGCCTGACTGGAGGCTGCCGCCCCGTGGGCGGAGGGAGAGGCGCCGCCGGCGCCGTCTCCTGCGGTGCCACGGGCACCCTCTGTAGCCGATGGTGGCTGCGAGACACCCTCGCTCGCCGCGTTCTTCCTCTTCTTGGTCGCCCTCTGCCTGCGCGAGCCACTTCTGGACCTGAGCC